TCTCTCCTCTGTTTTATTATTATTATTCACGCTATTATATATAAGCAAACCAAACAAAAAGAACAAAAAAAAAAAAAAAAAAAAAAACAACTACTACATCAACACGCCCGAAAAGAAAGAAAAAAATATTATTTATCGCGATTATTATGGAAATCGCGTGTAATAATAAACAAAATCTCTACAATTAGGGATACTGTTATGATATGCATCGATTGTGATAAATACTAAATTGACACTTTTAATAGTTACAATTTTATTTATATAGTATAGTTTCTGGATATGCGTTATAGTTCTATATATATTTCGCTTTAGTGAGTTTTTGTAATTTAGTCTGAAAGATGTTATATGACATAGTTAAAAACTCTGTTGAGGTGACATACATGATACATAACTTGTCATTGGTTATAGTTTTTTTGTATTACTCATTCAAAAAAGTTGTTTCTAAAAATGCATCGTGTGGTTTTGGTTTCCGTCGTTAGGTAAAATGGAACTTTATTTGCGTCCCTAATAACTTACACCATTTGTATATATTATTATTATGGTGTTGATAATAGAGTGATATTTTTTACCCTTAAGTTTCGTTAGTATATATTTCAGTTTAACTGTTGAGATTTAGTTTCTTTTTTAAAAACTTAATTTATAAATCTTATGGATAAATTCTATATCGTTTAATCAATATTCGTTTTTGTTAATTTTCTGATTTAGTTTTTAATATATATTTTCCATTTTTATGTTCTTTCCAAATAATCGTTAGGTCTACATATATGTATCCCGCATTTATACCTCATTGGAATATTTAGCCGCGTAATCTTTTGTTATGGGTTCTACAATGATACCTTTTACATCTGATTCATGTGATGGTGGTTATTTTCGTATTGCGTCTCTTAACCCTAACATGGGTGAGTGGTCTGTCTCGGTGAAGATTTTGAATTGTTGGTCTGTTTCGCGTGGCACGGGTAGAGAGCTCAATATGATTTTGGGTGACGAGCATGTTAGTTTTTTGATAACTTACCTGCTATACATGTTTTCGATATTAAATTGAATTGGTTTTGTCTTTGACGTTTTATTTGCAGTTCACACAAATCCAAGCCGTTGTTCGTGATGAATTAATTGATAATTATCTTTCAAGATTGATAATCGATGAGTGGGTGAGCATTAAAAATTTTGATGTATCACGGGTTAACAGCATATTGAGACCAGTACCGCATAGATTCAAGATTGTGTTTCGTTCGGACACTTTAGTGCAAAGTATTAATATGTGCTCCAGTAGAACCTATTTCAATCTAACTGAGTTTGTGAGTATATTGAGTGGTATTGTTAATCCGAATATTTGCGTTGGTAAGCCTAATTTATAAATTTATTTGTGCTTTTGGAGTTTATTTGCGGTTCATGTTCTGACTGTATTATTCATGTGTGTGTTTCATAGATGTTGTTGGCAAAATTGTCAACGTGAGAGAGTTGGTTTTTGTTCCTTCCGTGGAACATTCTCAAGGAGGATATTTTGAGCTGTACTTTGGTTTACGTGATACTGAGTAAGTCACTATTCTTTTAAAGATTTAAACCAGAATATAATGTCTTATGACTTCTTCAAATCTTAAAATTAGGTGTATCCATCTAGAGTGTCGTTTAACGGGTGACCTTGCAGTCGAGTTCTATGACTTATGGAAGCATCGTTCACGTAACACAGTGATATGTATTATCAAGTTTGTGAAATTAGAACTATCACAGGAACATAGGTGGAGATGTACCAATGTTACCGGAAGTACGAGGATTATGTTGAATCCGGATCTCAGTATTACCGACGAGATGCTTTGTTGGTAAGTATTTTTTTTTTCCGTTTACAATCAAAACTCTAAAGTTGGCGACTGGACATTCACTGTTTATGGTGTTCTTAATCGGATGTCAGGAATCCTGAAAATGACCAAGTACCAATCATCACACGGAAGGAGAATGCCATGGAGTGATGATGTTCGTTGATTTCTTATTTTGTTGGTGAATGATTTTAAAAGATGATTTATTATTATTTTTTAGCATTTATAATATTATTGAATTTTTTAAATTTCATCATTTTCCATAATTTTACCACACTAAATCCTAAACAATTTACCATTTTTTTCTTACACTACCAAGTAACACCTAAACAATCCCTTATTTCACATGATTTTACCATTTATACAGCATTCTTCCCGCGCATGCGCGCGGGCGATCATCTAGTTCATAGAAAATAACGAGAGATATTGTAGTGAAAAATGTGAGAAATATTTCACTACTTTAGAAAAGATAATGAATATGAGTAAACTAAAATCTTTTAAAATTTAAATAATTATATTTATGCTCAAAAATCCGCATTGATAAAATCTCTTAAAATTTAAATGATTAAATCCGCGTTGCGCGGCTACATAATCTAGTTGTCAAAGTTAAACAGTTTGTTATCTACTTGTCATTTACTTATAACCAAAACAATTAGCACAAAAGGAAAAAAAAATCATTTTACATTCTTAATTAATAAATGGAATTATAAACACACCACATAATTTTATTGTCTAAAAGAAATTTTTTTAACGAGACTGAACTGTTTGTTAAATAACACCACTGGGGATTTTTATAGATTGAATTAAAAACAAAAAAAAAAGTCTCTGAAAAGGCAAAAGAAAAATGAAAGGCAACAGTGTGTAACACTCAGTGACCAGACAATGACGTTGAAGCGACCGGAACTCCCAATCCCATCTTCTTTCCCAAAACGCCAAGCTGCTCCACCAATTCACCTCCGGTAAGAATCTCAGTGGCTCCATAAATTACGTTCTTAACGGTTAACTGTCTCTGAGTCAGCTCCTGCAAACTTCCATATTCAACATAGTTACCTCCACCGATCATGAACACTATAGCTTCTCTAAACGGTCCCTTCACGTGGCTACCACCGGAGCTAGACGACTTTGGAGCTCTTGGGTCCAGGAAGAGGTAAGAATCGATCTTCGGGTTTGGTTTTCCTTCCGTTAAAGCTTCAACGGTTCGAGTCACTGCCAATTGTTGATCACTAGATAACAGATTCTTGACTCCTGCAGTGACTGCGCTTATAGACTGTCCGTAAAGCTTCTCAGCCCAGTCTACAATGTTGCTTCTGCTCGCTGAGTTTGCCGAAGATGCTGCAAGAGATACGTTTAAGGATTTGATCTTCTTCACGTACTGAAACGCGCTTGTGTCAGCCTCAGCTTCATTCAATGCTGCTTCCACGGCTTCGACTTCGGATTGGTTTATGGTTTCTGTGGAGATCAAGTACATGATTGCAAACCGGAGCTTGTCCATCTTTGTCCCTTTGCCTTTCAGAGCAGCCATAAGCTCGGTTCTGTCGATTCCGCCTCTCATCATCATGTCGCTTTCTTTCTTAGTGAAAGCATCAATAGATCTCTCCTTGATCTGTCCTAAGAGCGCGGTTGCAATGTTGGTGTGTTTGTCAATCACTTGCTTTCTCTCAGTTAATTCTGGGAGTGAGTTCACAGCGTTCATGAGATGTTTGGTGTTTCCAATCAGATCTGTCCCGTCAAACTCAGCCCCGCTCCCACCGCCAGTTCTCTTGTTAACCTCCTCAACGTCTCTCTTGTACTTGTTCAACTGCGTTTCGATCTCCACAGCGACTTCTGGAAACTCTAGAGAACTGTTAGCTGACCAGAATGGGTCGGAACTGTCCAGCTCAAACGATTTCATTCCACCTTTCTCTCCCTGCACGTTCAATCGGTTGAGCTTTAACCCGAGAACATCGTGAACAAGAGGCCGGTATCTGAAATCATGCTGAATCCCAACCGAGAGCTCAAAGTTCCTATCGAAAATGCACAAGAGCGGACGCTGAAACGAGCTCATGAAACCGCCACCTTCAGTAAACAGATTATTCTTAGACAAGAGATGATCCCTCAGTTTCTGATCCAACAAAGAAGCCACCATCTCTGCAGGTCCACCACGTGGGCACCGGATAACAGGAACCACACCAAGCGTTACCAACACACAAAATAAACCATTAGCGACCCTTTCGATAATCTCTTCAATCTCTTTATCCCCTGCTGATGGGTCATTCATCCGAACATAAGTAGATTGCTGAGCCAGAGAGAACAAGTTATCTTCCAAAGTATCACAAACTCCAAATACTGATCATGCACTTTCGAGACTTTCTCAACAGAACCAGATTTAAGAGTCCCAGAAGCTAGCTCCTCAAGATGCTTGCGAGGGATCGAAGACGAGAAATTCAGATGAAAGGTATCGTAGAGAGATCTAGAAGCATCAGCTATGATCCTCTGGATGTTAGATTCAGTGGGTTGAACAAAGTACACAGCGGGAACATCGTGAACGGGTCTTCGATCTTTGTCTATGAGAAAGTAAAGTGTAACTCCATGTTTACGCAGATCCTTGACATGGATCAATGGAGATAGAATGTTCTGACAGAATCTGTCGTAGATCAAGATCTTGTAAACTTCTTCGTTTGCAGTTCCACTTGGATTCAAAGGTTGGTTCAGATTCAGCATCCGGATTATACATTCTGCAACCGAATCAAAGATCTAACATCAACATTTACTCATAACAAACCAGAATTCTCTAAATTTTCAGATTCCTATGGAAACAATCAATAGATCGAACACAATCTATGAAACTGAGATCATTTCACATTGAATTATAAAGAGATAATTACCAGTATGTTTCTGACGGAGATTGAGAGCCATGGAAGCTTGAGATTCGGTGGATTAGAGAGCAAAAAAACCTTGTCAAATTCTGAGCTATTCCTCTCTGAGAAATTCAGATAAACGATAAAAAGCAGTAGAAACAAAGGGATCTAAATCTAAAATCGATCTAGAGAAACTTCAAACCCAGAAATCAGTGATTACTGACGAAGATGTATGTAACGATTATCACATCGCCTGGTGAACAACGAAAGAGCTTTTCTCCGAAGAAAAGAATGGGCCTCATGGGCCTCATGGGCCGAGTCAATTTTATGATAAATTCGGCCCATCTTTAGCTTTCGTCACCTTTCTCTTTCTTTCTCCTCTCTGAAAGAAAATGAGTGAGTCGTCGTCGCCGGCGACTGGAGTTTTTCCGGGAAGAGGAAATGGGAGACGGAAGAGAAGGAGATTGGGAATGTTTAGGTTGCAGAAACATGAATTATGCGTTTAGATCATTCTGCAATAGATGCAAGCAGCCTCGTCTTTTCATGGATAACAATACTTCTCCAAACTCTAAGTGGCTTCCTCGTATCGGAGATTGGATCTGCACTGGTTCGTTCTTTCTTCTCCTATCTCAGTTCAAGTTTCTTTCGATCATTACATACAAGTGTTATACCGTGAGAGATGTTCTCTTTTTTGAATTTCGGAATTTGTGTGAATTAGCTTCACAGATTGTGCTAATGAACTACACAAGTAGGATTGATCTGAATCGTAAGTTCTGAGTTCAAATCCTTAAACTTTCAAATGCCCTTTTCCATTTGATGTTTCATTAGATTGGAATTGTGAATCAAAACTATAATTGATCTGAATCTTAAGTTCTGAGTTCAAATTCTTAAACTTTTAGATGCCCTTTTCCAGTTGATGATACATTAGATTAGAATTGTGGATTAGTGGCTTTACTTATAACTAGGTTGAGCTGTTTTGTGTGTTCTGTGTTATGTGGTATATGGAAATTGCTGGTGGGTGTGGTGTGCGTGCGTATCTTCTTCGTGCTGTGTTTGGTGTGTGTGTGTGTGTGTGTGTGTGTGGTGTGGCGATAGGTTGCACTAACAACAATTATGCATCACGAGAAAAGTGCAAAAAATGCGGGCAACCTAAGGAAGTAGCAGCATTGTCAGCACTTGCAATCCCTGGAGCTTCTCTTCAGACTCATCTCCATTACTTCGCTCGTGGGCCTGAGTCAATCGATCAATCTGGTTCCTTACTTGCATTCTCTAACGCTGCAAATCAAGCTTCGGTTCATAAAGAATGGAGGAGCGGTGACTGGATTTGCAGATGTGGTTTTCACAATTATTCCTCTCGTATACAGGTGAGGAAGTAGGTTCACAATGCAAAACCGACTTGCAGATTCCGGCTTGTTGTTTACTCATTTCTGTTTTGTATGTCTCTGCAGTGCAAAAAGTGCAACGAAACAGCTCCACTAGGTATGTTTTTCTCTATTTTGACTCATATGGATGCTGCGCAATTCTATATAACATAAAGGTCTCTGATATTCGTTCAGAACTAGTTTTTATTTTGGGAAAGTTTGTTTTGGGTTGCAGCCCTTGGAACAAAGAGATTAGCATCAGAAGCTTTGGCTCATGAATGGGATAGCAAAAGACTGAATCAAGGATTTGTAAGGATTAGTTAGAGCGCATAAATTGATTAGTACATTCATAAAATTTACTTGCTGCTTAACCTTTAACCTCTGTTTCTTCTGGCTCATTGTGCAGACAAGCATGCAACCACATTCAGCGATATATGAGTCTTTTCCTGGCATGAGCCCAGGAAGGATCTCAAATTGGCAGGTTCCACTCCCATTTCTACAACAACATTCAACACCTGCTTTACTTGGAAAAGGGTACTGTATTGATCTCTGGTCTCCATTGCTTTCTTGTTTTCTAAACGCAAGAACTCGGTTTGAGATTAAGTTTTCCATAGTCTCTTGAAGAACTTTTGCAACCTCCCCATTTCTTTGTTTTTACTGATTACTCAGAGCGAAACAATGGCGCGATGGAGACTGGATGTGCACAAATTGCAAGAATCACAATTATGCATCTCGATCAGAGTGCAATAGGTGAGTGTCTGCTAGTCTTTTCGGTGAATGATTCTGGTTCTATGCATTGAGTTAAGGTAAACAAAAGCCAAAGACAATTTTATTTTTCTTTTCCTATGTCAGGTGCAAGACTACACGAGATATTTTTAATCAGGACATAACTCCAACACAACAATCTTGAAGAATCATGAAGAGTGTTCTTTAGTGTATCACAATTTGGTTTGTTGTTTTTGTTTGTGATTTGGCTACACATTACTCGAAACTAACTTGAATATATAAGCCTCAAAATGTTTTGAAACAGGGAATGCAGACACAGCTAAAAAGCTTTTCTTAACCCTTTAAGATGTTCTTAGGATCAAGAGGCGGCGTATCGAGCTGATAAAGATTGAACGCCGGTCCAACAAACCGGAAAAGAATCCAACCTCCGATGACAATGTATATCGACGCATAAGCCAATTTGTTCAGCCAAAACAACAAACCTTTCTCTCCAACATAAAGCTCCAATGCCTTCTCATTCAATGTCATCTCCTCCCATGGCTTTTGTACAGTCTCTTTCTTTTTACCGTTTTGTCCTCCTCCTTCTCCTGAACCCTCTTCCCTCATTTTCCTTCTGGATCCTCTTTTGAATCTTATCTCCACTCCATCCAACGGTTGAGAGATCTTCTCATCATCTCCTCCACTGTTTACACAGTTTATCGATAGAGTTCGTCTGTTGTTACGATGCAACAGGAACTTGGTTTGTGTGTAAGATTGTTGCTGCTTCAGATTGATAATGGTTGAACTTGGAGCTAAAAAGTGAAGAGTTTTCATTTTGTGTTGTTTTTAAGATTTTTGTAGCTTCGATGAAGAAAGAATCGATTTTGCCAAAAGATAAGCTTTTTCATCTTCAACCGTTAAAATCCTTTGATCCACTTATTTATCGACACGTGTCTATTCGAAATTAATGGGCTTTTAAGAAATTAAATGGCCCAGAAGTTTTAATTGGCTGCCGTAAATACCGAGATTACCCTTATACCGTCACAGAATCACACTGACAAAAGAGTACTCGATTCCAAATCGTGGACTAAGAAATTTTGAATTTTCTGTAACAAGAGGATTAGATTCGATTGTACGATTCGGAATCGAGCGAATCAAATGGAAGACGATTCATTTCTCCGGCAGTACCAGCCGTCGGAACTTAAGATCGTTTCGGAATTTCTGACGAATTGGCTTCCTTTCTTATCTAAAGATCTATGCAAGGACTGTAATCACCTTCTCTCCAATCGAATCCGTTCTCTTGACCCAGGTAACGATTTTCAACTGTTTCTTTGAGAAGAGAAAGTTTCTGGTTTCTATGGAAAATTGAATATTCTGTGTAGAAAACGGCGATTTCTTCATTGTCGTACTTGATTCTGCTTTTTTTATTGTTTTTCTGCTAAATGACAAGGTTAAAAATTTAGGGTTTGGTAATTGGAACAAATAGGAGGCGAGAGAGGAGCAATTATGTTTCTAAATTTGTGAATTAAGTTATCATGTGTAGTTGCTTATGAGAAATCATATTTCATTTTGTGTAGGACTTTGTAGTAACACAGATAAAGTTGATGGAGAGTGTAAAACTGATTCTTGTTCGGTGGTGGGAACTATGGGATCAGAAAGAGTTAGTAACAATGTGGATGGGAAGTCGGAAAATGGCGAAGACTGTGATAATCATCCGTTAGGTAGTTGGAAGGAGAGTGAAATTGTATTTGGTTCCATTTCTGAAGTTTTGGGTAGTGTACTGCCCTCTAGACCAGCTGTTGTTGAAACAGCAAGCCCTCGGATGTCTTGGGCTGATATGACACAAGAAGATGATGAGTTCGACGAGGAGGAGGAGGAGGAAGAGCAGAGGGATTCGAGTAGGAAAGGTTTTGATGCGAGTTCGATGAGGACTCCAGTGAAGCCTAAGTTGTCTAGAGATCAGAGAGAGAATCTCAGGCTGATGAATGTGAAGAGAAAGAAAGACTTCATTTGTTTGGAGAGAGTTAAGGGAAAGATCGTTAATGTGCTTGACGGACTTGAGTTGCACACTGGTGTTTTTAGCGCTGTGGAGCAGAAACGGATTGTTGATCAAGTGTATCAACTTCAAGAGAAGGGACGAAAAGGAGAACTTAAAAGTGACTTCTTGTTTCGATCTGAAAATACTCTTATCTCAACTGTGACCTATTTTTAATCTGAATCTTGTCTTGTTTTCTCTCTGTAGAGCGTACATTTACTGCTCCACATAAGTGGATGAGAGGCAAAGGACGTGAGACTATACAATTTGGCTGTTGTTACAATTATGCTCCAGTAAGTAACGTTCTCTGTCATACTTTCATTGATCTGTATCATTCTTAAAAAAAAATAGTTAAGAGTTTTGCCTTCTTGTATGTTGGGTTGATAGGACAGAGCTGGAAACCCACCGGGTATCCTTCAACGTGAAGAAGTTGATCCATTGCCTCCTCTTTTCAAAGTAATCATAAGAAGGTTGATTAAATGGCATGTACTGCCTCCAACTTGTGTGCCCGATAGCTGCATTGTAAACATCTATGATGAAAGTGACTGCATACCTCCGCACATCGACAACCATGACTTTCTGCGTCCGTTCTGCACCATCTCTTTCCTCAGTGAATGCGATATCCTCTTTGGCTCAAACCTGAATGTTGAGGGTCCTGGTGAATTCTCGGGTTCATACTCAATACCGCTTCCTGTGGGGTAAGCAAGTTCTGAAGAAGTCCCAATATCAAAACTTTTTGCTACTCCTTGTCGAATATATAACAAAGATTGGTTTTTGGGCATTTTTCAGATCAGTTCTGGTGTTAAATGGAAATGGAGCTGATGTAGCTAAGCACTGTGTACCTGCAGTTCCCACAAAAAGGTTCTATATATTGTTGCATCAAATTTTCTTCTATAAACAAACAGCAATTTTCTCATATGAGTTTGTTTCTTCCCGGATCTTTTCAACAGAATATCAATCACATTTAGGAAAATGGACGAGTCAAAACGCCCGGTTTGGTTCACCCCAGAGCCAGATTTGCAAGGGATCGAGCCATTGCCATTGGAGCTGAACCGCTCTGGCTCTGCTTCAAGGTCCTCAGGATTAAACAACCATAACAGCACTAACCGAAGAGGACATGGACGTAGACGAGGAGGCAATAGTTATGAGTCAAGAGGTTACTATAATCCTGAGAGAAGCAGTGAACACAATGACTCTGGAGACTGGCCATCAAGCCAGAGAAGAGGAATGCCACGTCCTAGTAGAAGAAACTAAGGTTAAATTCTTCAACTTCTGAAGCTGAAATTTATAGGTTCTTTCTTTATTTAACCAATTTTCCATATTATTAATTTGTGCAACATATTTTACACAACGTTCTGAATTTTATTTTTTTAGAATTCAAACAATTTTTTATGTCCGGGGTAGTTTTTTTTTTTTTTCCGATTTTGAATTTTTGACCGTATTTGTAATTGTGTAAAATGTATAATATCTACAGTTCGATTTGTCATTTGTGGTTTAGTGTGAATTGTTATGTGGATTGTTTCGCTTTACTTTCTTTTTTATTTTCCTTTTTTTTTGTCAAAATTTCCAATTGATGTGACTAAAGAATTTCGATCTACGAGAGCATATATATATTATATAGTAATCGATAATTGATTTGACCAAGTAACCAATACTTTCATATTTCATTTATATGTTTTTGTGAATATAGTGTACAATTATCTCAATTTTTTGACTGACTACAACTTATCGTTTTATCAAACCTTTCGAACATGAGTGACTTATATGAATGTGGCCTTTGCTAATCTGATTTTCAAGGTGTACCTTATAAGAAGAGCTCGACTATTTTTATTTAAATAATTTACAATTTTGAAAAGTTACACACTTACTTTTTAAAATAAATAAAAAATTACCGGTTACAAAAATAAAATGGAAGAATCAAAGAGAACGAAATAATGAAAGAACACGTGGGTTAAGGGATCTAATAAGAATCTCTTTCTTAAAATCAATAGAAAGAGAGAAGAAAAAGGGTTTGGGTTCTATTGAGTATGACACTTTATATCTCAATGAAAAGCGCCGATGTGTTGTATATGAGATATGGAATGATCTTCTCATCTCAAATCCCTATTCGATTTTTTTAGCATCATCATTCTCTTTTCCACCATTTTTCTACTTTCTAACAAAGTAACAATGTATCCTATTTTCTTTCTTTTTTTCTTGATACATACTCCCTTTGTTCCTTGAAGTTTGATGTTCTAGTGTTTTGAGTTTGTTCCACAAAGATTGATTTTCTAGATTTTTTTTTTTTAATTGATTTTAATAAATCGTAGATTTTAAGACGTAATGATTAACTGTTTCAGATTACTATTGGTTCATAGTTTATTAAAAAATATTTAACAAAAATAAATAATTAAACAATGATTGTTTCTTAAGAAATGTAAAATCTCTAGAAAGTCAATCTTCTAGGAACAGAGGGAGTATTAATTTTACTTTTTTTTGTCTTTTAAAAACCATGCATCTAAACAATTTTATCGGTTAAGTTTCAGAAATTACGCTACCGCCACCATTTTTCTAAATATGGTGTACAGTATAGATGAGTAATCATTTTGTTTGCAAGGTTTAGTGATCAATCAGTTTGCCAAATATTATTTTGTTCTGCAGTGTGATCACAAAATTTTGTGGATGTTATCATGAATTTTTTACTAAAAAAAACTATTGCTTGGATATTTATTTAAATGAGATTTTATACATAACGAATTTATAAGATCGTTAACATTGTATAATGATATAAGTTGCAGAAAAAAATATCGTAAAATGAAATTTTATGATGATTGGATACATTAATTTGTATAATGGTGGAATAAATTTTTAAGACATTAATAATGATTTTTTTACTTTGTAATATATCTTAAGCGAAAAAGCGAATTTTGCAATTTCATGTTTTATTAAACATTATGGAGATTTCCTTGATCAGTAAACTTTTTGCATAATTTCATTAAAAAAATTTACATTCTGTCATTATGCGTGTTACCAATGGGAACCTAAATCTCTAATATTTATTAAAAAAAAGTCTCAAATTATTATGAGTCTTAAGCTCATTTTGTGACAATGCGAGTAAGATTTAAGACACAATCAGCATGCTTTTGCACTTAATAGGTACCCCTACTACATAGTAGTATTAGTATAGTACATGATTTTCCTTGTCTGATTTTGAAACTTGTCTCAAGTTTTATAATTAAATACAAAACAAAGAATGAAAGTTCAAGAATCAAGATTAATTATCATATGTTGGGTTGATAGGGGAGTGAGAGAAGGAGAGCGATGAGAAAATGATTACCCGTAAGAAAAGGAAAGCAAAAAAAAAGCAGCTTTGATGTGTTGTTGATTTGGATAAAAGAGATGTGTGTGTGTATGTGCATACAAAACACCTTTTCATGTTAGCCCATCACCATGTATTGATCTGTCTTCTGTTTAATTGATCTTGACCATTTATCTTTCCAAATAACGACCCCTGATTTTTTTTTAAAGTTGTGTTATTTATTTTTAAAGAAGAATTTTGTAACATTTTCTGAACGTTTGTTCCTTCAGAGACATTCGAAAAAACTCACCTAAAACACTATTTTTGAATAATATTGAATTTTTTTAAAAAATGACACAATCTTTAAACAAACATTCTTTTCCCCAGGGATCAATCATATAGAAGGGTGGAGTTTAGAGCTTGCTAATTTATAAGGGAATTTGAATATAAGAATACTTTATGTCTCTCTTTTTAACAAAAAAAATCCTCTTAATTTAATATGTATCCTCCAATCAAATTAACTAGATCATAACCCGTGCTATAACACGGGTGTGAATTTTTTTTAAAAAAAATTAAATTGTAAAGGTGTATTAAAAAGCAAATAATAAAATAAAATCAAAATTATAAAATTTATATCATAGCATGTGTAATTTTATTTGTTAATAGGATTAAATGTTGTATTATATCAAATCAAATTAATTAATAATGCTTATAATAAAGATTAATCATTAATGAAGTGAAAACAAATCTCTCTCCTCATATTTTCATCTTTATATCAGTCGAAGCAATGATGATAACTCTTCTCTAACTTTCTAGGAAACTAACACTTTGCTTTTTCTTTCACTCTTCTTATCCTATTCCTTCTAAGAAAAAAATGTACATGCACGACGTAATATAATAATCATATTCATATCTATCACCCTTTTCCTAAAACATGTAAAACAAAATCTGTGTTTCAAGTTTCAAGTAATTCATTTTTCCAAATTTTTATTACTTTTTCCATAGAACAATTGTTGTTTTAAACATTTGCTTGACTAGTATAAAATCACAAGTTTTGTGTACATTAGATGCAGAAAATCACTAGTGGACTACATTGTAATACTGTATCAGTTTTTTTTTTTTAATCAAAAGCAAAGTACGTGGTTTAAATTGGTAGTTCACATCATCACACTATTAAATGGGTGGAGTATCAATGGAATGAAAAAACGACATCACTATTAAATGGTTAAAAAAATATGCAGAATTGATACGAAAGACAATTCTACGGTTGCAAATTACCAATATATGTATCAACGTATAGGAAAATTTCAAGTCGTCAAGATGTTGGAAACGTCATGTGCGTTGAATATTCTATGCAATTTCTCACACACACCGTAAGTATAATCAATAAATCGACAGTGAGAGAGAGATAGAGAGAAGTAATAAATGTCACAACCACCAATGTAACTGGTGCAGTTGTAGGTGAAAGGTACATCTTCTATCCAAAATAAGAAGCTTACAACAATAGACATTTCCCGTTTATATGATGTAATATTCCATCTTTTAAACCATATGTAACGGCTTTAAAGCATATATAATATATACACACACTTATAAATATGCATGCATAAGCATGTCATGATTGTTTCATCCATCTTCACGTACGGTGTGTGTGTTTGAATGAAGATATAGGTGATGATGATGATGAATATGTGTGTGTTGATGATGATGATACTAATTCTCATGAATTCACTTCATTTATTGTTTGCATTGTATTTACGTTATCGAAGAGCGTGCTCTTTCTTCGACAATGAAATTCCTTCTGCACCACTCTTACTCTCTCAATCTCTCTCCTCTCTCTGTATATATACATTGAATTTAATCATGGTGTAACAAAATTAAATTAAGTCATAGAAACAAAATAAAGTAAATTGAAGAGTGTAAGAATTTTGTTTTGATTTCAACAAAGTCTAAAATTATTATCAACACAAAATTATTATTCTTATTATTATTACTAGGACTTAGGATCCCGCGATGTCGCGGAAAAATATATTTCAAAAATCATTAAAAACAATATCAAACGAAAAAATCATAATGAATTGTAATAATTTTGAATTTTTTAATAAAAATCAATATATATTTTACAAAAATTATGATAAAGAAAACTCTCACAAGCATTTATTAAGTATATTAATATTAGAAAAACAATAATAAGTAACTAAAAATCTATTCCCAAGTGCAAAAAGCATAAACTAATAAACCAAATATTACAATGGTCTGATAAATAAGCCAAAACGTTCAACGTCAAATAAACCAAATGCTATTGTGTTAAATTAAACGGTAACAACAATTCATTTAAATATATTTCAGTATTTAAATATTTTTTAAAAATATGACGAACTTATCCGAGAAACGCAACCGTAGATACCAAATATTCCAAAAATTGCAACTGTTCGTCAATTATACCAAATGTTGTAATAGTTCATCAAATATACTAAAGATAACAATGGTTCGTAACACAAAACCAAAAGTTGCAATAATTCATCAAATAATCCAAATGTTGAAACAGTTCAATTAAATAGTTACAATCTCATTTAAATACATTTTAGTAATTAAGAATTAAAATAATAATTTATGAAAAGTTACACCGAGAGACGCGGCGGTAGATAATTAAATGTTATAGCTATTTATAAAATAAACTAAAAATTGCAATTGTTCGTGAAATAAACTAAATATATAAACCAAAGGTTGCAATTGTTCGTAGAATAAACTAAATATTGCAATAATTCGAATAAGCGGTTTCAACTGTTTATGAAGAGTTACAATAAAAAACGCAACCATATAAAACATTCAGAATGCAATTTATATATAAAAAAAACATAACCGTAAAATATATATTTTAATTAATAAAAACATTAACGAAAAGTTGCGATAAAAAGACGCAACCGTTCAGATGTGCAAATGGTATTTATTAGATTGCTATTATATATAGATTATAACACATAAGTATTGATTTCAATAAAGTCTTTAATATGAGCAGATTTGATTTTAGATTTGTTCACCTTGGTTTCAAATATCAAAAAGGAGCTTTGTAACTTTTTTTTTTTTGTCATCTTGTAATATTAAAATCAAGGAAAGGATACATAGAAAGAATACATAAGCCGGACACACCGGAATTAAAGCTCACAAACTCCGACTAAATTAAGCTCGGAACTTCGAGAGACAAAACTCGCAAATTCCGACTAAACTAAGCTCAGAATTTCGAGAGACCAAGCTCGCAGATTCTGACCTAACTAAGCTCGGAACTTCGAAAGACAAATTTTGACTACACGGAAACAGATTCTTATACAAACAAAAGCTCTTAAATGAGCTTTGTAACTAAAACAGCTTTTTCTTAGTTTAATAGATAACCACTCAGCAAAAAAAAACACATGAGATATAGTTTACCTAATAGAAAATTTTAACATACAAATATTCTTGACAAAAAAATACATACAATGACTAAAAGTATAATTATTTTATTTGAAATTCTGAATAAATAGACTTCACTTTCCTATAGTATGTATATGTAATTAATTACTTTGTTAACTTTAAAAGACAGCCCCACAAGATTAGTAACAACTTTTGAGGGTAAAGCAGGAGGAATGTTTTATATACCAGTCAGAACAAGAATTTACAACATGGAAGTATCATTTGAACATGGAAATGTCATATCAATTTGCACGTATGTATATGTTTTCTTTATAGAAAACCTAGCTACTTTGTTAATTAAAATTTTAATTAGTATCTTTAAAGATAGTAACATGTATATATATATATATATGTGTTTAATATAATAGTTTAAATTCATGTGTATATTAGTTTCTACTTCTTCTTAAAATTTCAACAAATAGTTATATTAATCTCAGACATCATCAGTATTTTTATCTATTTATATTTATAAAATCTTAGGTTGAAAACAACATACAAACAACCTTCGTATATGAATTAAATATTAAAGTGGCATAATATATGGAAAATATCTTACAATCAAGTCTTGACGAATAATTGAAACATATTAATAATTTAATATTGTACGTTGATGAACTAATTCAACAAATGATCTAAATATAAACAGTGTAACGTAAGGTGTAAATAGCGAATAACATATGACAGACTGAATATAAGGCTCGGATCGTAGAGGGGACCATGCCATATTCCAAACCCTATTTTCCCCCATTAATTTCCGGGAAACCAATTATTATGTAGAAAATATAAAAACTAATTATAAACGTATTCATGAAATTAGGGCAAAAGTACAAACTGAAACTAATGATGCCCTAAATGAAAATGAAATCTCTGCAATAAAGAAGAGTGGCTTTAGGGGCCACGTAGACATTAGTTACAAAAGCTCTGAGTCTTTAGCCCTCTCCCCTCTGCCTCTTCAACAGTACTTTACGACAATGAAAAAGATCGTGATGCGTAAATCAAGATCCTCTGTTTCTCACTGCATGCTCGTTACCATACGTACTCATAGGAGTTTATAAATCAGAGGGCCTATAGAAAGTGTATTCTAAGTAGCAACCACTATGTAAATTGTGACCATATGTTCATCTATATATTATATATACACTACATACGCATGTAGAGTAACAAGACATTCTTTCCTTCTTCTCAAAAAGACATTCACAATCAAACCAGAGATATAGTTTAATCATTTCTTGGTTAGTTTATAGTTTGGTGACTTGGTGTAATTTCCGAGTAGGATAAATTGGACCGTTGATTCAATATATAGAACAAATGCCAAAAGACATTACAAACTTATTCTCGGATATACCAATCGATTAGAGTTTTAAAAAATGAGTAATCCACTAGTCTTAATTGGGATAAAACTGAGTTTATCTAGGTGATCAATTGGGTCTTTTGCTAGGGCAACTCCCAAAAAGATTTTTTGTTATTATTATATATATATATTTTTATAAAAAGATTAATTATAAGACTTAAACGTTTAACAAATATATATATATATATATTATAAGACTTAAATCCTTAGATTGTTTTCAAATCTATATAGTTACAATAGTTGGTTTGTAAAAAGTTTTTTTCCCCCAGTACGTCTTTGCACGTTGTGTTGCTCATGAATCCGAGAAATCATGGGGGCTAATATATACAAAACTATATACTAGGAAATAGCCAAGCAACTTTGGTGATCGGATCTTTAAAATTTCATTTAAAAAAAAAAAATTCTTATCAGCCGTATCTTCAGGCCATTCCCCATAAAAACTATAATAGCTTCTATGAAATTTGTAGAATTCGTAAGAAAAAAGATACATTGAAAATCTCTATATATCTTTTATATATATGACTGTTACGTAGAACAATAAGACTATAGGAAAGTTGGGTATTGTTCCTTTTCAATTACAAAAGTCATATTCACTAACCAACAACTATACTAAAACGTCAAAGCCCTTCAAACTCATATAACAAAATGAATAAATTAAATCGCATATTTCTACAAAGATCCATGCTCCTTATATATAAATTCGTCACACTTGTTTTATAAATTGTAATTGATAGAAATTATTTTCATTTTTAAGATAAAGATATAAGATGGAAACTTTCAGTGAAAAAAGAGAAGATAAAGATATATAGTAATTCTTCTACACATTTCCGGACGATCCCCACGAAAAATATCCTATATTATGTGTCATGAACATGTGTCCATATGGAAGGAAAAATGTATTTTTATGAATTATCAAACGTTATTCATTTTTTTATCATTCATTCTAGAAAAAATTATAAATTGTTTTCTTTCATTCCTACGAAACAATAATTCACATCGATCTTTAAGATTTTTTTTTTTTTTTTTTTGTTTTCTGTGTGTATGGGTAAATATCTTTCATACGTAGACAGATACATAACAATTAAAGCTGGTGAAGTAATAATTGAGAAGAGACAGAGAAATTGAAAAAAGAGAGTTTGTTTTTCGTCTAAGTAAATACCGATGATGCCCTCACCTTTCTAATTCCCTCCTTTGTCCCTTTCCATTTTCATGTTTATTTCTAACTTCTCTGTCCCTTTCAATCCTTCTCCACCAGATATCCTCTGATTCGATCCCAAACAATTTTTGATAAAATTTTATTAATTATTCTCACTAAAAATTTCAAGAGTACTTTCGTTTATTCCTCATTTACAGAAGATAAACAAATATGAAAACATTTCACATGTGAGTTAATAATTTCTAAACACAATTATTTATCTTAGGTTAATGCACGACGATGACCTGATCTTTTAAAGATACTATATTAGGGAAGATAAGAATTCAGTTTCTATTATCTTACGAGCCCTATATAATTTAACTAAAGATATATAGATAGTTGACTAGAGAATTTCCTTCCTAAACATAACATTGTAGTCGAATGTTAATTCTAATGAACATTTTTCTTTCTTATATCCACATTTTTAAATAGGGTTTTGTATGTGGAATCATATCTACATGACTACATGCATAAAAGAATAATACTGAATAACTGATTTCTAGAATATTGCAAAACTTTTTTTTTGGGTCCCCTTGTATGAATATATGACTCAAGACCTTTACTTTCTCTCTCTCTATATATATATATATCTTCTCTCTCACACGAAACCTAAAATCTCTTTACTACCACCAGAGCAAGTTGTTTTCTTGCTAAATTCAAGCTTCTCTTTCTCAATATCATTCTCTTGTTCCTCTCTAGTCTTGATCTTGTTAACTGTTAGCTTTGTGAAGAAAAGTCGAATCAAACACACATGGAGCCACCACAGCATCAGCATCATCATCATCAAGCCGACCAAGAAAGCGGCAACAACAACAACAACAAGTCCGGCTCTGGTGGTTACACGTGTCGCCAGACCAGCACGAGGTGGACACCGACGACGGAGCAAATCAGAATCCTCAAAGAACTTTACTACAACAGTGGAGTCCGGTCACCAACAGCCGATCAGATCCAGAAGATCACTGCAAGGCTGAGACAGTACGGAAAGATCGAGGGCAAGAACGTCTTTTACTGGTTCCAGAACCATAAGGCTCGTGAGCGTCAGAAGAAGAGATTCAACGGCACAACCATGACCACACCATCTTCATCGCCCAACTCGGTTATGATGGCGGCTAATGATCATTATCATCAACATCATCCTCTACTTCACCATCATCATGGTGTTCCCATGCAGAGACCTGCTAATTCCGTCAACGTTAAACTTAATCAAGACCATCATCTCTATCATCATAACAAGTCATATCCCAGCTTCAATAACGGTGACTAATTTCTCTTATACATGCTTTTTTTTATGAATTTATTCATCAGGTGGTTATATATTACTAAGAGATCCATTTACACCAGGTAGCTAGTAGCTACATCAAGAATTAGCACACAAAAAAAGACCTAACAAGATCTACATATATATGACTTTGATAGATATATTATGTATATGTAATGACATATAAAAATGTTAGAAATTGTTAACAAGATTTTAAAAATGCTGTTGTTCTATGAATTTATTCAGATTATTTTTAAAATTAAAAATGCCGAATATATATTGTTGGGAACCAGTTACACACTATCTATTACATGAATTAGTAAAAATAACCAAACCCAAGAAGATGTTATATATATGTACATATGATTTTGATAGATATATGTATATGTAATGACGTATATGTGAAGTTATGAATCTTGATTGGGGCAAACCAAATTTGCATCTAAAGAACGGTTTCTTTGTTGTGTAATGGAAACTAGACTCACGTGCATTTTATTTTCATTTTTGATTTTTAACAGAATTAGGGGATTTGGGTTAGTAGAAAAATCACTAATTTTATGTCTCTTTCTTCTTCTTTTTCTGTATAGTATGGTGTGGAATCATAATATATGCTCACTGATACGTATTTTTTTTTTTTGAAGGGAATTTAAATCATGCAAGCTCAGGTACTGAATGTGGTGTTGTTAATGCTTCTAATGGCTACATGATGAGTAGCCATGTCTATGGATCTATGGTACGTACCAAACTTTAAGTCTTTTAATTCAAATAACATATATCCTACTTATATGAATATAAATTTAATGAAATTGAGATTTTTGGGTGAAGGAACAAGATTGTTCTATGAATTACAACAACGTAGGTGGAGGATGGGCAAACATGGATCATCATTACTCATCTGCACCTTACAACTTCTTCGATAGACAAAAGCCTCTGTTTGGTCTAGAAGGTCATCAAGAAGAAGAAGAATGTGGTGGCGATGCATATCTGGAACATCGACGTACGCTTCCGCTCTTCCCTATGCACGGTGAAGATCACATCAACGGTGGTAATGGTGCCATCTGGAAGTATGGCCAATCGGAAGTTCGTCCTTGTACTTCTCTTGAGCTACGTCTGAACTAGCTCGTACGCCGGCGTCGCACCGGATTAAAGCTCTTTCCTTCTCTCTTTCGTTCTCGTATGTTTCGCAACTATGGTTCGCTAGTGATTAATTAATGATGCAGTTATTATATTAGTAGTGTCTCTCGTACGTAATTTGTAATTACTAGCAAGTATCGTCTAGGTTTTAATTGTAATTGACTTCGTTTTATATATCTTTATGATGAATATGTTAAAATTTTACTACTACGTAGTTGGGGGTTTGATTACCATAGATCCGGAGGCATGAAAGAAATGGCAGAGACGATGTACTATACTTGATTGCAAGATTATCGAATCATCATTTTAATAACCAGTGATCTTGAACCGACATCAAGAATAATAGTTGTTTTATAACAGAACTTGTGAACAGATGATTGTTTTCTGGTAGTTCAAAACTAAAACAAGCAAGTTACTGTACTTTTTAGAGGAAGAAGGTATTTTAGTTTTTTTTTTCCATGTTATATATACAATCAGCTTGATCTATGGATGGATAATCATGGAATAATGTAAAGAATGTAAAACATTAGTTGATCTCTTGTACACGGTCAAGGGAAGAATGCCAACCTCGAACTCTTTTTGGTAACATTAAACTATGGGAGGGTAACACCGGCAACGAAGTAGGTCAAGGTCTATTAGCAAACCATTACAATTTAAATCAAATTTTGTCATTGATAAGTTAGAATTTGTTGTTGTTTAAATACTTCGTAAATAGTTTTTGAAGTAATAAAATTTAAATCTATACTAGTATTTTTGCAACACTTTGGTGACGGGTGGGTAAAAATGCTTCCGGATATATCGGATACCTGACCCGTTTTTAAAATTCCTTCACAAAAAATTTATTGGGTCGGGTTATATTTAACCTAACTCATACACCGGATATTTCATATTCAATAATTTAGATATTTAAAATATTTGATTAAGATTTATAATTATGATTCTCCTATCATCTTTGTTTGATTTGTTTTTAAATGTTTTGAATCATCATATAATACATAAAGTTAAAAAAAAAATCAATTTTTTTTCTGCATATACTGTGATTCAAAATTTTTAAAACGGACATATATTATCCAATTGACGAAAATATGTGTTCAACGTTCTACATGGATTAAAATATCTAGGTAATGATTCAGAATCAAATCATAAATAAGAACATTAATAAAATAAATGAGTTTTTTTGCTGGACGGGTTTGGCGGGATGGGTTTTTGAATCAAAAATAATAAAAAGATTAAAATATCATTAATCCGCCGCTTCAATACGGATTAAATCTTTTTTTTTTAATGCCACAAATATTAGACATATTAATCTCATTTAGAAAAAATTGTATAAAACCAAAAATTGTCCCGTGGTATAATGTCTTGTGGTCTTAGAGGATGATATGATTTGTAAACTTTTATATATAATAAATAATCATTAAATTTTAAAATAAAAACAAATCACGGGACGGGTTAAGAAATTACGGAACAGGTTATATTTCGGAAATGATTTATATGGCGGACGAATTTGAATTAATATTTATATACCGCTCTAATATGGGTTAAATCCTCTGTTTATTAATAATTGTCTCGTGGACTCGTGGTATACTGTTACTTAATAACAATTATAAACTATAATATAAATAAATATGATATAAAGAGATACAGTTTACAAAATATATTTATACTAACTTTAAAATTAAATCATCCCGCGGTGTACCGCAAGTTAAAATCTAGTCGTTTTTAAAAATATAACAGTTATCAACCAAAATTGAGATTGTAGTGAAAAATTTGAACCCTAGTCCTTAAACGATCTCTTTGTACCCTTAATTTTCCAAATGTTTGTCATACATACTAGGGGTGCACAAAGTGGATATCCTAGATTTTGGTGGTATCCGTGATCCGCTTTGTTCCGTCCAAATAATTAGTTTTCTGATATCTATTCGCTCCGTAATTCACTGGATATCTATTAAAATCTAGATTATTTGTCGGATATCGAATCTTTTAGTATATATATTTAAAAATAATTATAAAAATAAAAACATTAATAGAAAAAATTAAAATTTACTTCAAAAATAGTAAAATTTATTAAAAATATATATTTCTCTCTAATTATTAAAACTAGTAGTTAAATAATTAATCGGATGAACATAAATTTATAAATCTTACAAATAAATATAGTAAAATTATAATTTATACCTCCTCCGTTTCAAAATATAAGATGTTTTGAAACAAAAAAATTTGTTTCACAATATAAGATGTTTTCAAATTTCTATGCAAATTATAGATTAATTTTATATTTTATATTATTTATATTATGCAGTCTCCTGATAAATTAAACTTTTTAAAAGTGAATATGTCTTTTGATTTACTTTATAAAAAACTACGGATATCAGAATTTTTTGAATCGAAACGAATAACAGATCGAAATGGATCTAAGAGATATTTTACCGAGTCATAATGCATTGATGTATGTTTTATTTTTCCTTTTCGTTCAAAACGAAATAGTTAATGATGGTCATCAATGACCACTGATTGATCACTAAAAATACTTTATTGAGCGTGTAGGAAGACTAATGTCCCAGTGTAATCTTTGGCTACAATTAACTAAGTACATACTAGTATATGATTAGTTCTAAATTCTTCTTTAGTACTCTCTGTGTTCCTGAAAATTTGATGTTTTAGAGTTTACACATATATTAAGAAACAATCATGATTTAATCATTTAATAATTTTTTCCTTTTATTAAATATTTTTAATAATGTATGTACTAATAGTAATCTAAAACAGTTAATTATTTGTAATCATTACGTCTTGAAATCACGATTTGTTAATATCAATTAATAAAAAATAAAATAAAAAATTAGAAAATCAATTTTTGTGAAACAAACCTAAAACACTAGAACATCAAACTTTCAGGTATGAATTAGGCGTCAAAGTGGCTCGCGTGTTGTGAGAGCGCGTGTCATTCAATATTTCTAAACAGAGATTTTTTTACAAAGAGCTATCCTCGAGCCGCGTGAACTAAAATGACACGAGGAAGAAAAATGATTATTTGGTTAGTTGATCTATGTCATAGATCTTGTTCAATGACCGTAGCTTTTTATAGAACTGTAGAGAAAAATATGTTATACACTCATAAATAAATTAGATGGGTTTTATTATATGGGATCTGTCTGCTTTTAAATTTTTAATCATTATACTATAAGGTCCGTTTGATCAAAAAAAAATACTATAAGGTCCGTTTATTGTGAAATGTGTACGAAGAATAATAGAGTATAATCATTTTATAAAAAAAAAAGAATAATAATCTGTTAAAAAAACAAGAATGTGGCAGTTAGGGACATTGGTGCAGCCATGTTTTATAGAGTATATTTTTTGTAGTTTGAACCAATTCTTCATCGTAAACTACGCTCATAATTGTTACATTGAAAACTTTAATTATGTTAATGGATCTCTTTTTTTTTTTTGGCTGGATTGCCTCGTTATATGTTCTTTCTATTGTTATCCAAGTTTTGTCCAAAAAGTAATACCAGTAATTATAATGGTCGAATTAGTTAGGGAGGTGGACTAGATATTTTTGTATTTCCACAAAATGAAACTAAACATGATTTATTTAGATTTAAATTGTTTTGCATATGAACAAACTAATTTGCTTGCAGACCAAAATAACATATATGTGATGCTATTTATTATACAAACTTTTTATTTATTTTTATGTTGTTGTTACCGTCGGATTATAAACTTATAAGTGATAACAATGGATTTTCTATTCACTAATGAACATTATTTATATAGCAAGTGGAAAATATATTGGGTTTTTTTTTCATGTATTAAGGTATCTTAATTCTTGATCATTTAAACAGAGTAATTCATACTATTTTTGATTTGGTAAACCAAGACGGAGCTTTACATGTATTTATTGGATCAAAAGATCACAATTTAGTTAAACCTCTTTCTGCAGTTGATAAATGATACTCCCTCCGTTTCGTTTTATTTGTCGTTTTAGGACTTGAATTTTGTTTCGTAATAGTTGTCGTTTTAGATTTTCAATGCAAATGTTTGGTAAAAATTTCAGTATTATTTCTATTGTTTTGATGTTTTGACCAATGAAAAAATTATAAAATATATTAATAAAGGATAAAACAGAAAATTTAATGCTTTTCTTAATTTGTGTGAGAAAACCTTAAACGACAACTAAAACGAAACGGAGTGAGTATATATCTAGACTAAAAATTTATTCTACCTTTTTTGCAAATACTGATCGAGATACCGACTCAAAGTTACAAATTCATTTTCTTTGACGTCTCTAATTCATATTTTTTTTCCTATGATTAGCTTACGTAATCAATCCCTCTTTGTGTAGACCATGAAACCAAACCCTTAAGAAGAAGAAGGAGTCTACATCAAGGAGATCTCAAATCGAATGAGCTTTTAAATTCTTCAAACATAATCAAATTATCAGCTTGACCAAATTGCCCACCTTCATTCTGAGCCTGGAGGAGAGAGAGAGAATGAATCAAGTTAATAATTGTTTGATAAAAATATTTGAACGTATATATATGTTCCTTTCACATGGTCTAGATCACTGACATATGTAGTTATGTGTCTTAACGCTTACTTGTGAATTGTGATGTATATATATTACAAGTGGATATGCATATGAGTTTTTTCTGCGGATCCGAGAAGATCTTTAAAGGCTTTTTGGTGATTCAAAGTACGTTATTCCTATAAGAAGCAAGGATGTGAGGCTTGTGTAGCATCATGGTCTATGATTCCCTTTATGTGAAAATTTTCTTAAAAGACTTGTTTGGATCAGTTTGGTCCATTTGCCATTTTTTGGTGGCTGAATTTATAATGTGCCGATATATAAAAATGTATATCCATTCTGTGAATATTACGGTTAAGTAATCCAAAATTGTATGAGTGGACTTTTAATATTTTAATATATAATAAAATAATATATTTTTTGAGAAAACATGTTGCTTAATTAGTACTATATGGTCGGATTCACAACGTTTTTTTTTTCTTTAATAACAAATATTATACTCCGAGTATTAATTTATTTATTTTGATCTCACATTCTATTTTCTCCAAGTTTTAACTTTCTCAAATTTAGATGCAAACATAAACCTAACATCATTAAAACGGCACAACATCCCATAAATTGAAGATTATGGCCTCTAAGAGCATGATTAACAGTTGGAGTCCAAACCATATTTATAATTGTAAAAAATGCAAATTTTGAAATTTAGACACTTAGTTGGTTTTTCATTTTTTTCACACTCCAATGGTAGATCCAAAATTAAGGATCCAAAATTTTAATTTTTTTTAAAAATGTGTGAATGTCTTTTACAAAACTTAACAACACAAACAAGAGTGTGAAAGTCTTTTACAAAACATGATCTCACCAACTTGACACACTTGAATGGCACACCTTCATCGTTTAAACTCTTCATCCTTTAAACTCATCATCCTTTAAACTCTGAAAAATGACACAAGAACCAACTTAAGCATTCATTTCGCTTCTCTTAAGCACAAAACACAAACAACTAAAGCATTGATCAGTCTTAACCTAACAAGCATTTATCACAACTAACAAGCAACTTAAATGTCTTATCCAAAAGCTACGAAGACAGTCTTAACTAAAAGGAAGAAGAATAAACTCACCTGCATCTTAATTAGCCATGGGGGAGAACGAATGCATCATGAAGAATCTGAGAAATGAAGGAATAGCTTCAGTTATCAGTTATAGAACGAATATCAACAAATACTCATCACTAAACAAAGATATAAAAATAGAAACCTCGTAGTCAATGTACCATAACTAGAAGAAATATCATAAACCTGCAAATATTTTCTCTCACGAAACTTAGATGGAAACAATGCTAGTGAATTCTCTCCTTTTGCATCCATTATCTACAAAGAGACAACAAAACAACAACAGCAGTTTAAAACAAATTAATTGGAAACTCTCGTTGGCCTAAAACTATAACATGAAAAGGGAAGTAAAAATTCAAACTTTAATCAGTTCACACATACAAACTAAACCAACCCATTCTGAGGAAACGCTATGAATTGGCGAGATTGTATGAAACCTAAGAAAAATTTGGTTATCTTTTACCTCAATTTGATTGGAACCTCTGAGAGAGATGACTTGGGCAATGCTTGTTGGTGTCGGATCCCGCACCAGAAGTACGAGACCAACCAAAGATTGCCACGTAGTCAAGGTATTAGGCCCATAAAGGATGAAGCCCATTGGACCCGTGAGCTGAAGGGACGTTCGAAATGGTTGTCACCATTTCGAGAATCCGAAGTGACTGCACTGTGACACGAGTTCGATGAAAAAGGCATGAGTAAGTCGGTTCAAGGACGCTTGGGCCAAAAGAAGCGAGGCCCATGAAGATTGGAGTCAACTCAAATTCAAACGTTGAGCATTAAAGCCGAAGAATCAAAACGGACACATTTAAGAAGAAATAACTGTGCTTAATTACTCATTTTAATGTCGTTTATTTGTGTATAAATACAGGGGCCAATGGCCATGTAAGGGGGATCTTCCTCTCAAGAGAGAAATAATATAGCAGTTTTTTAAGTCTTTTACATATTCATTTTTGTCCCTCAAGAATAATCTTTCCCACTTAACAAAATACTTGAGTGTGTGAATCCGACTTCCACATTTTGGCGCCGTCTGTGGGGATTCAGGATTCTTGAGTGGTCAGATTTTTTCTTTTCTACATTTCCGAGATAAGCGACAATGTCCGGAGGAGACGCTGTTGAAACATCATTGGCCGAAACCCTCAAAGCTATGCAGCAAACCATGTCGGACATATCACAAAAGTTCTCGGATGTGGAGAAGGCCGTCGATACGTTGCAGACATCCCAGGTATCTCTTAGCCAAAACGTCAATAATATACAAACTCGTGTTCGCTCTTTAAGTGCAGGAAACCCGGTGGGAACCCGAAGAGGGATATTCAACTCGCCAAGTTCCGCTGCACGAAATGAAACCAGCGGACAAACAACTCCCGGTGCTACAAATAATGTAGCTCAGACGTCGGAGGAAGAGACACAGCTCGGGGATGAAGAACAACTTGCAGCTCAGTACGAGCAGGAGAACCTCGACCAGTTCGAGACCATGAAGAAGGTTAGCCAGGAATTAAAAGAAATGAAATCAAAATTTCATCAGGCTACAAGTTCGGAGCCAGACATCAATCGAGTCATTGAAGAAGCAAGGCGAACCCCTTTTATCCCGCGAATTGCAAGTTTGAGGATCAAAGATTCCCGGAAGCTCAAGTTGGACCCTTACAGCGGATTGGAGGATCCAAAAAGCTATCTTGCAGCCTTTCTGATCGCTGCAGGAAGAGTCGAGTTGGATGAAGCTGATGAGGATGCAGGCTATTGCAAGCTGTTTTCGGAGAATCTATGTGGCCAAGCTCTAATGTGGTTCACCCAATTAGAGCCGGGTTCAATCAGCAATTTCGACGAACTGTCAGCCGTGTTCTTAAAGCAATATTCTATCCTTATGGATAAAAGCGTTTCGGATGCCGATCTTTGGAACTTGACGCAAGGATCTAATGAGTCACTTCGAGTTTTCATCACCAAATTCAAAGGAGTGCTATCAAAACTCCCGAGAATCTCACAGCAATCAGCTTTATCTGCCCTACGAAAAGGATTGCGACATGATTCAAGGTTTAAAGAAGACTTAATACTTCATAAACCAGATACAATTCAGGATGCACTCTTCCGAGCAAACAATTGGATGGAGGTAGAAGACGAAAAAGAAAGTTTTGCCAAACGAAGTAAACAAGAAAAACCGGCAGTCACCGTCCCTACCAAGAAGTTCGAGCCTAGAGAGAGCAAAGGACCAAGGAAGTTTGGGTCTCAACCCTTCAACAATTCCGTCGAGAAACAATTCCAAGGGAAAGGAAGATCAAACACTTGGGTCCGTGATGAAAGTCTATATTGCGACATTCATAAAGTAACCGGACATTTAACCAAGGATTGCAGCGTTCTTAAAAAGCACCTCGCAGAGCTTTGGGCTAGTGGTGATCTTTCTAAATTCGATATAAAAGATTTTGTGAAGGAATACCACGAAGCAAAGGAAAACTCCAAAGATCAAGATTCCAAAAGACAAAGGTTATCCAACGAGGAAGAACCAAGAAATTTGAAGGGGAAGATCAATGTGATTCTAGGAGGATCCAGATTTTGCGGAGATTCAATAAGTTCAATCAAAAAGCATCGACGAAATGTCTCACTCAAAGCAAGCTTAAGCGAAGAAGTCGATTTTCAAGGTGCATCAATATCATTTGATGAAGAAGAAACTCGGCATCTCGAAAGACCGCATGATGATGCTCTAGTCATTACTCTTGATGTCGCAAACTTCGAAGTATCAAGGATCCTTATAGATACAGGCAGTTCGGTCGACTTGATCTTTTTAAGTACTCTGGAAAAAATGGGAATCAGCCGAGGAGACATAGTAGGACCTCCATCTCCGTTAGTTGCATTCACAAGCGAGTCAGCCATGTCTCTCGGAACAATCAAGCTACCGGTCCTTGCCAAGAAGGTATCGAAGATCGTGGACTTCGTTGTCTTCGATAAGCCCGCAGCTTACAACATCATCCTCGGGACTCCCTGGATTTATCGGATGAAAGCAGTCCCCTCTACATATCATCAATGTATCAAATTTCCAACAACAAATGGGGTGGAAACGATTCGGGGAGATCAAGAAGCTTCGCGGACTTGTTACTTAGCTAGCCACCGTTTGAAGATCCAATAGCAATTAACAAAGCCCGCAAGAGAAGGACTAAGGCAAAAATTTCCTAGTGGGCAGAAGAAAGAGGATGTAGTAGTCGAAGTAGTACTGGAAGAAGACAAGCCGGACCGGAAAATTAGAATTGGAGCAACTTTGACTGGCCAAATAAAAGAAGCTTTGATCCAACTATTAAGGAAAAACAAAGCATCGTTTGCATGGTCAGCAGCGGACATGCCGGGCATAAATCCGAGTATAATTTGTCATGAACTAAACGTAGATCCAAGCTTCAAACCGGTGAAACAAAAAAGAAGAAAGCTAGGAGTGGAGCGGGCAAAAATAGTAAACGACGAAGTGGATAAACTTTTGAAGATAGGGTCCATAAGAGAAGTACAATATCCGGAGTGGGTAGCAAACACTGTCGTTGTCAAGAAAAAGAACGGGAAAGATAGGGTTTGCATCGATTTTACAGACCTGAATAAAGCATGCCCTAAAGATAGTTTCTCGCTCCCGCATATAGATCGACTTGTAGAGTCCACCGCTGGAAATGAGCTGTTAACGTTCATGGACGCCTTCTCGGGTTATAATCAGATAATGATGAACCCCGAAGATCAAGAAAAGACGTCATTTATCACAGATAGAGGTATCTACTGTTACAGGGTAATGCCTTTTGGTTTGAAAAATGCAGGAGCAACTTACCAACGATTGGTGAACAAAATGTTTCACGATCACCTCGGGAAGACCATGGAAGTTTACATAGATGATATGTTGGTTAAATCATTGAAGAAAGAAGATCATGTTAAACATTTGGAGGAATGTTTTGATATTCTCAATAAATATCAAATGAAGCTGAACCCGGCGAAGTGCACATTTGGAGTCCCATCCGGAGAATTTCTTGGCTATATCGTAACAGAAAGAGGGATTGAAGCCAATCCAAATCAAATTAACGCCTTTCTAAACATGCCATCTCCAAGAAACTTCAAAGAAGTACAACGGTTGACTGGGCGGATTGCGGCTTTGAATCGATTTATCTCGAGATCGACAGATAAGTCATTGCCTTTCTACCAAATTCTAAAAGGGAACAAAGGATTCCTTTGGGATGAGAAGTGTGAAGAAGCTTTTGGGCAGCTTAAGGCATACTTAACCACTCCACCTATACTCTCCAAACCGGAAGAGGATGAAAAACTTTACTTGTACGTATCAGTTTCAAATCACGCGGTTAGTGGAGTCTTGGTTCGGGAAGACCGTGGGGAGCAGAAACCAATTTACTACGTAAGCAAGTCAATGACGGATCCGGAAACCAGGTACACAATGATGGAAAAGCTTGCACTTGCGGTGGTAACTTCGGCTCGGAAGCTGCGTCCATATTTTCAGTCCCATCCGATTGAGGTATTAACTAACCAACCACTCCGAACAATACTTCATAGTCCAAGTCAGTCCGGACGTTTGGCGAAATGGGCGGTGGAATTAAGCGAGTACGACATAGAGTTCAAAAGCCGGATCAGTATGAAGGCTCAGGTCTTAGCAGACTTCCTGACCGAGCTACCAATACCTGGAACGATAGAGCAACCGGAGAACCAAACTTGGAAATTATACGTAGACGGGTCTTCAACAAAACAAGGATCCGGAGTGGGAATCAAGTTGGAATCTCCAACATCGGAAATTCTAGAACAGTCATTCCGATTGTTATTCAATGCCTCCAACAACGAGGCAGAATACGAAGCCCTTATTGCCGGACTACGACTAGCACAAGGAGTTGGAGCTAAGGAAATATTGGCTTATTGCGATTCGCAATTAGTAGTTAACCAATTTAATGGAGACTATGAGGCTAAAGATTCAAGAATGGAAGCATACCTCGAACTGGTGAAGGATCTATCTAAATATTTCTCGAAATTTGAATTAATCCGTATACCTCGGAGAGAGAATACAACTGCAGATGCACTTGCCGCGTTGGCGTCAACATCAGACCCTGAGTTAAAGAGAATTATTCCAGTAGAATGCATCTCGGAGCGAAGCATTCAAGACAGCAAGGAAACCCTCGTCGTTACAAGGTCTCGAGCAGCGGCACGCGAACGTGGCGAACCAGAGATCGAACCGCCACCCAATAAACGAAGAAAGTCAAAGGGATCAAATACATCTAACAAGGAACCCGTTGTTTTAGCTGAAGAAGTGATTCCAGAAACGATGTTAGAAACCGAGCCATTAATCGAGGAGGATGTTCTTGAACCAAACGAACATCCCGAACCAGAGCCACGGATATTTCAAAAAGTTGACCAAATTCTGGCTAAAGACTGGAGGGCTGACTGGAGGGAGCCAATAAAGCACTACATCATGACAGGTGAGCTCCCAAAGAATAAATGGCAGGCCAGGAAAATGAAAGTCGTTAGCGCAAAATTTTGTCTGTCGAAGGATGCGTTATATAGACGAGGTGTCAGTGACCCTTACCTATTATGCATTTTTGGGCCCGAAGTCGAAATCGTCATGAGCGAGGTGCATGAAGGATTATGCGGGAGTCATTCATCAGGAAGAGCTATGGCTTTTAAAGTTAAAAGAATGGGGTATTTTTGGCCCACTATGATCACTGATTGTGTTAAGTTCGCCCAAAGATGCAAGCGCTGTCAACTTCATGCACCATTGATCCATCAACCGTCGGAATTATTCTCCTCCATTTCCGCCCCGTACCCGTTTATGAGATGGTCAATGGACATCATTGGACCATTACACAAATCAACTCGAGGCGTACAGTACCTTTTAGTCCTTACGGACTACTTTTCAAAATGGATTGAAGCCGAGGCGTATGTTGGTATCAAGGATTCGGCGGTGAAGACCTTTATTTGGAAAAACATTATATGTCGACATGGAGTTCCGTACGAAATAGTCACTGATAATGGACCACAATTCATTTCACACGAGTTTGATGCCTTTTGTGCGGACTGGGGAATCAAAGTCAGTTATTCTACTCCACGATATCCGCAAGGAAACGGACAAGCTGAAGCCGCGAACAAGACAATATTAAGCAATCTCAAGAAACGCTTAAGTCATCTAAAGGGAGGATGGTATGAAGAACTCCAACCCGTCCTGTGGGCCTATCGTACAACCCCTAGGCGACCTACAGGAGAAACTCCATTCTCTTTGGTTTATGGCATGGAGGCGGTAGTACCAGCTGAACTCAACGTGCCCGGACTTCGTCGAACAGAAGCACCGTTAAATGAGGAAGAAAATTCAGCAATGCTTAACGATTCACTAGATACCATAAATGAAAGGCGTGATCAAGCTCTAATTCGGATCCAGAATTACCAACAGGCAGCAGCCCGGTATTACAATTCTAAAGTTAAAAGTAGGCCGTTCTTCGTGGGAGATTACGTATTAAGACGCGTCTTTGACAATAAAAGAGAAGAAGGTGCCGGTAAACTTGGTATTAACTGGGAAGGACCTTACATCATTACTGAAGTGGTTCGAAACGGCGTTTATAGGTTGAAAGACTTAGAAGACAATCCGGTCAAGCGACCTTGGAATGTGATCAACTTAAAGAAGTTTTATGTTTAAAAGCTACATGCATTGTTTATGTACATGAACTACGATTTGGCTTGATCCCGAAATGGGTACGTAGGCAGCTCGAAAACGGGTTCAGCTATTAATAAAATTTTTTGTTTTATTTCTTTATTAAAGGAAGAAGGTTCGGCTATGCGAACATACAAGAGATTGGAAATAAAGCGTTTATTCAAAAAAAAAAGGAGGGCGAAGTGTCCCTCATCGTACACTTTGAACTACGAAATCCTCGTTGACGAGCAGAACACTTCAATTCCTTGACCAGCAAGATCGAGGATTGGCATCATGCAGTCCGGAATTCGAGCAAAGTCAGAGATTCCAAGCTCAATCCACTCTCCGGGGTGAGATTCAAGGATGTGAAGATTTCTTGACACCATAGTAAGTCTGCGTTGCATCCGGTTAATCCTCTTCCGTAGCCTCCTCTTTTCCGACGTAAGCTTCCGGTGTTGAAGTTCGAGTGCCTCTATGAATGCCGTCGCTGTTCCTTGGTCTCTGATAGGTAGATCCCTGATCAAAGCACATGGGGCTCGGATTTGAGATCTCAAGAAGCCGCGAAGTGGAGGAGGCTGCCTGTTGGGCTCACTTGGAACATCTTCATTCATCATTCCGATTCTGGAGAAGTCGGGCATAGATTCTGAACAGCGTAGATTGAACTCCATGCCTGCTAAAATAAAAAAAATGGTGAGGAGTAAAGGGGAGTTGAACCTATAATTTATAGGAACCCCATATCCCTAGCAAGCTACGGATTCTATCCAAGTAATGGAATGATTCGCGGAGGGATTTATGCCCTCGAACGGATCCTGCATTAAAAGACGCATCTCGAAGAATATTTGGAGAAGATGGAAAGTAGCAAATATTTCCATAAATAAAAAAAAGGGCCGAAGCCCATTACGAGTTTTTGTTTTAAAAAAAAAAAAGAAAGAGAAGTGAAGAAATTGGAGAACATTTATGGGAGAGGCTCAGGAACAGGCTCCTTCATCGCCGGTTTAGTCCTCGAAGTGGACGCCTTGTTTCTGGCATCCACTTCGGAACGATCCCGAAGGCGTTTCCGGCAGTCGCTGGCCTCCTCCTCCAAGTCCTCTTCCTCTTCATCGTCGGATGGAGTGACGAAGACGGGGGCGTTCACAGGGCCCGGGACTCCTCTTGCGCGGAGATACGTCCGAAGCATCTTCGGGATCTCGGCAACGGAGTCGAAGTTCCGCCACTCCCATTGAAAGGGATCGCTCTCCAGGGCTCGTATCTTTCTTTCCACCCGGGCGATGCGAGCCTCGAGCGTTTGCCTTTTGAGGCCCAGCCGCTGCCTCTCTTCACATAAGCGACGGTGCTTGTCGGCGACCTAACAAAAAAAAATGATGATGAATAATATAAAGTGAAAAGTTTTTAAGTCAAAAACTTTATTTACCTTGTCGATGAAGTCGCAAGCCTCTTTCTTCTCCTTTGAAGGGAAGTGAAAGACGGCGTGAGGAAAGAGAACGCCGGCCGGTTCAAAGCCGTCACCGGATAAGAAGAGTGGACTGCCGGGAGCGATGGGGGCTACTTCTTCGTTTTCCATCCTTAGAATATTTTCCAAGAGAGATTCTATAGTCATGTTTAATAAAGCCTATAGGTAGGTAAGCCTTTATTTATAATGATTTAGGGTTTGTCTTGGAAACATAAATTCATTAATGGTAGCGTGCCCAAGTGGTTTAAACCATTTTTGGAAAATCGAGAAAAGGCAATTATTACATTAAAAGACGAGCCGTTCTCTTTAAGAAGGGAAAGAGCAACCGTCACATTAACTGCAAAAGTTTCTAAGGCCCAAGCCTGACAAGTTTACCGAGTTGACTAAACCCGAAGTGGGGAACTCGCTTTAAGCCGAGCTCAGTTCTCGCATTCTAAAGAGAAAGGTCTGATCAGCCTAAAAATCTCGAAAGCATTGCCACAAGGCCACAAAAGGTTAAAAGCGGACTTTGCAAACCCGCATTTAATTTTAACCAAACCCCCTTGGGCCACAACCTAGAAAGGTTTAAAAGCCTCCTCAGGCAAATATCTTGTTCAAAAGAAAATAATAATAAAGCCTCCTTAGGCAAAAATAAGTTTGAAATTAAGTCTTAAAAATAAAGGGACGATCCCCAATTTAAAAGTGGACACAGCCACTACGGAACAGCAGCCACCTCGGAGTCCGGCTCAACAGTCGAAGCTTCATTCACGTCCTTGGCAGCTGCTTGATCAGATAAAGCTCCCTGACCACCCTCCGCGGCACAACCAACCTCCGGAGTGACCTCCGATACCATAGGAGCTACGGGCGGGACAACATCCTCCGCCTCACTTGAGCCTAGGAATAATAATTCCAGTCAATCACAGGTGCAAGAAAAGGAAAGGTAGTAAATGTCAGGGGCCAAGCATTACCTGCCCAGTCTAGACCTGATTCGCTTATAGGAGGCGATTCGGTGAAGAATTCCGCGAAGTCCTGAGGGTTGAAGGTCGAAGTAGGAAGAGCGGCCAAGCGACTCCGCTTTTCAGAAAGATTAGCCGATAGTTCGGTTCTCTCTTGATCCTCGGAGAAATCTGCATCATGGATTTGATCCAGCAGGATCAGGTTGCTCTCGTGCTCCTTGATGTCAGATTCCAGGTCAGACCTAGCCTTCTCAGTCTGCATGAATCGGATGGCCCCTTGGATTAACTCCATCCCGCGTCCTTTGACCTCTTTTCTGGCTTTTGATGCCGACCTCGCCAACTCGGAGTCACGCAATTTGGCGATCGCCTTGTACTTCGCGTTGAGCTCGATGAGTTGGTTGTGCAGGGAATCAGCGTTTGATTCGGACTCTTGAAGCCTACCTTGAATACCAGAAAACTCTTCCTGGAGTTTGAAGTTCTGGTCGTACTGACCCTGCAGCTCCCCCTTTATCTGCGCGAGCTCGGATGTTAAATTGTCGACTTTGTCCTCCAGATCATGCTTGGAGCCGGCAGAAGAACTGAGTTCGGCCTCAAGGGCGGAGAGTTTCTTTGTCAACATGTCAATCTCCTTCTCCCGGCCAATGACCAACCCTTCGTAATGTTCGATCATGTCGTTAAATTCGCTTTGAGCCTGGCGTTATACATGAACCCAGGATGACGAGTCAGTTCGCAGAATAGCAATACAATAAAAAATATACATAAAGGAAAGCGGAACTAACCCGGGATGAGTGATGCGCGTGAAGCAAATAACGTTCACGAATCGCAGGGCGCCATTTGTTGAAATCTGGCAAGATCGAACCCGAACGGGTCTTGAAGCATCGGAAGACGCTGCCTTCTGTCTCCATAGCTGCGAAGAAGGAAGAATTATAAAAATCGGAATTTTGATAAAAACAAAAGTTTAAGTGTGTGTAAATCACCAAACCTGAAAGCGATTTGACTTGAGGTACAAGAGCAGGCTTCAGCCTCGAGGGAGCATCTCGAGATTCAGAATCTCCTTTTTTCGGAGACGCGCTCCGGGCGGTCTTTCCACTATCAGACTGAGAAGAGGAGGACATGTCAACCGGTCGTGGAGGACCCATTGGTTCAGAAGGAGGGGATGACCGAGGTGAGCGGTCAGTCCGGGCTCTTGACTTTTCCCTCTGCGGGGAAGGATCTCTGCGAGAGGACTTGTCTCTCTTCCGGCGAACCAAGTTCTTAATTGGCTCGTTACTAAAATCATCTCGGGGAGGACGAGGTGAATCACAGCGAGGAGATTTATCCCTCCGAGGAGAACGTGAGTCGCGGCGATCGCGACGGGGAGTTAGTCTGAAGGAAGCAACAGATCGGGCTCCCTCGGTACTGCCATCATCGACCAGCAAGGTCCTACTATAGTCCTTCTTGTCTATAGAAGTCGCGAGAAACTTTTTCTTCTCCTCGCAAGCCTCAGCCATCGGCTTGGAAAGCAACTTACGCTTGGCCGCAAGGGCCCGAGATGACATTCCCTGAGTTGAGGGAGGGGGAGAAATTTGGTGAAGATGACCAGGCGGACTCATCCTGAGTCTGTGGTTAGCCTCTATGAATCGTTCGAGAGTGAAGGAATTCCAAAGGGTTTCCCCTTCAAGAATTATTTTGAAGAATTCGATGAACTCTTCAGATGGGAGATTGGAAGCGATGAAAGCTGCGAAATGAAACAATGATGTTAGTTAATAAAGATAAAGAAACAACTGGGAAAGATACGGGCGACCTAATCTCTACCAGGTTTCGCCGACCACTTCGAAGGGAGGAAATCTGCAAGATTTCCAATCGAAGCGGGAGTTTTCTTAATCAAGAACCAAGGATGATGCCAATTTTCATCCTTGTTTGGAAGATGCGAAATGATGTTCCTGTTGGCGTTAGGATATGCTGAGAAGTACCCCGTTTTCTTCGACGAGCTTCTCACGCTTAGAAGCTCATTTAATTCGGCAACTCCGATAACGTAACCGGCCTCCGCCGCGATTGTTATAATGCCGAGAATAGTACGAAGAAGATTGGGGGTTAATTGAGGAAGAGCGATTTCAAGGGCCGCTAGGTATAAAATTAGGGCTTCGGGAAGAGGAAAGGTCAGCCCGCAACCTTTGAAATAAATCTCATACACACAGAAGTAACCATCGCGATGGTTCTCTGGAGATTCTGTGGGGGAAGCTATTTGTGCTTCCGCCATAATTTCCGGCGGAATCCGGCAAAGCTCTTTCAACCGCTCGAGGGATTGAAGAGTACAAGTGGACCTATAGTGCGGACCGGCAATGTCACCAGGGCGGGTGCACTCGTCGTTACTAGAACGCCTCTCGTCGAAAGACGGAGACTCGGGTCTATCGGAATCAGAAGTCATTGGTAATAAAGAAAAATTCAAGATCCGGCGAAGAAGGGTTTTGGTGAAGGAACGGAGAGAGAGGTTTTGATTAAAGTACAAAAGTAAAAGAAGAGAGTAATGGTGAAAAGAAGTTACCTCAAGCTAATGATGAAACCGCCTCGGAAGTCGTGTGGGTAGTGGGAAGGTTTTCCCCGTTTTAATAGTAATTAATCAATATACGGTCATAATGATGACAGATGTCACTCGGTTAAAAATGGCTATTGCCGAAATTAAAGGAGTGATGGGATTTTCGGCGGGAAATCATGAAGATTCTCGAGCGCAATCTTTGGCCACTTGAGCATTTAAAGTCCTCCGAATTGGAATAGCACTTCGAAGAACTTGGGGGGCTAATTGTTGGTGTCGGATCCCGCACCAGAAGTACGAGACCAACCAAAGATTGCCACGTAGTCAAGGTATTAGGCCCATAAAGGATGAAGCCCATTGGACCCGTGAGCTGAAGGGACGTTCGAAATGGTTGTCACCATTTCGAGAATCCGAAGTGACTGCACTGTGACACGAGTTCGATGAAAAAGGCATGAGTAAGTCGGTTCAAGGACGCTTGGGCCAAAAGAAGCGAGGCCCATGAAGATTGGAGTCAACTCAAATTCAAACGTTGAGCATTAAAGCCGAAGAATCAAAACGGACACATTTAAGAAGAAATAACTGTGCTTAATTACTCATTTTAATGTCGTTTATTTGTGTATAAATACAGGGGCCAATGGCCATGTAAGGGGGATCTTCCTCTCAAGAGAGAAATAATATAGCAGTTTTTTAAGTCTTTTACATATTCATTTTTGTCCCTCAAGAATAATCTTTCCCACTTAACAAAATACTTGAGTGTGTGAATCCGACTTCCACAATGCTCTGACATTCCTCAAACGTGAAATCATGCTCCGACGCCGCTTGTTTCAGATTCCTTCTTCCTTTGTTCATCTCTTCTTTCTCCTCAGACTAATCCTTCTTACCATTGATATAGTATTCCAGAATGTTCTAGAAGCTTCTCGATCTCACGTGTGGAGTAGCAGAGCACGTGTGACTTGATGAGCTGGAGGATAAAATATTCTACTTGCAGAGTAACGATGACGGAAGCTGTTATTGACTCTGTTACTTTATTTCACGTATAAGAGCACATGTTTAGCTCACGCTTTCATTATGCAATTTCATCTTCTTTGTGTAATCTTCTAGAACTTTCTGTGCTCTCTCCTCATCGTTTTGCTGGAGGTACTCCTTGAGAGTCTCTTGCAGGTGGGATGTGTTGTTGCGTTCCTTTGCGAACGTTGTAGCAGCTTGATTAATAAAACCTTGAGAACACTATTTTGCATTTACTCTGTTCTTACTCTGTTTACGTTATCACTGGTATCAGAGCCAATCGGTGCTCGGAAAAAAATGGTGGTGGCAACGAGAGCTACGGCGCAACAGACTGAAGCTGAAGGAAGTGTAGATGATGCTCAGCCAACCAATCGCGTAACAACGACGGAGGGAATTGAGTCACGGCTGGAACAAATGCTTAGTCGGACTCAGGCGATCGAGATCTCTGTTGCGGCGCAAAATAAAAAACTGGACCAGAATCTAGCTGATATGTTTGCGATGATCAAGATGATTCCAACACATCAAGCTTCATCGAGTGGAAAGCAAGTTGTGGACAAACAATATCCAGCGTATTCTCGTACACCAGAGTCTTTGGAGGAAGGATCAGATCTCTTTCGTGGTTCTAAATCAGGTATACATAATCAGCGTGATCAGATCAC